CATGCTGCACATTTATTATGCAGTCTTTTTATACACTATTGAAACAATTGCTTCAGTCAACACTTTAATTGGTAAGAGGAAATATAAGTGGGTGAAGTAATCACACTCGAGAGAGCACAATGTATTTACTTAGGGTTGTGGTCGCAAGAATTTCAGAAGAACTGCAAAAATACCATTGGGTGGTGTGGCCACAAAGGTCTCCAGAGACATTATCTCAATGTCCCATATCTAATTTGAGCTATCCTAAATATCTGAGCAAAGCAGTTTTATGTGTACTGTGCTGCAGGGCAGCCACTTCCCCAAACTTGTGTCAAGGGAACAGGAAAGAAGAATGTTTTCTTCTCCTAGCCCTGGCATTCCATAGCTGACCTGTGTCCTAGCCACAGTCCTCAAATTACCCCAGAGCCACGGCAGCACAATTCCCTGCAAACTAAAGCACAGATTCCAAATCCTCACAGTGGTCAATTTTGAATATTTCTTTTCATGGTTATTAGTCTTTTATGAGAATTCTCTCTTTGAATCTCTATCCCATTTTTAATTGATTTATTGGTGTTCTTGATACCCTGTTTTTTGGGGGGGTTAGATATTCTAGAAATTATCCTCATAATAGATGAAAGATGGTAAAAATTATTTTCCAGGGGCTGGAGAGATGGCTCAGTGGTTAAGAGCATTGCCTGCTCTTTCAAAGGTCCTGAGTTCAATTCCCAGCAACCACATGGCAGCTCACAACCATCTGAAATGAGATCTGATGCCCTCTTTGGGCTTGCAGGCAGACATACAAGACAGAATATTGCATACATAATAAATAAATAAATAAATAAATAAATAAATAAATAAATAATAAGATTATTTTCCATTTTCTAGCCTGATCTCTTTAATAAATGATGGTATACAGTGCCAAACAGAAGATTTTCCCTTTCCTTCATTGTTTTTTTTAACATCTGTGATATTGATGTCCTTAAAGAAGTCTTTTCCTTTGTCAATGATTCCAAAATCATTCCTCACTTTCTTTTCTATCAGATTCAGTGTACATTATCTTATATTTGGATGTTTAATCCATTTTCAGTTGAGTTTTGCGCAGTGAGATACAAAGATGTGTGTGTGCAAAATATATTTTTACATTCTTCTACATGCATCCAAAAAATTTGGTCAGCTTCATTTGTTGAAGATGATGCCCTTCTTTTCTAGCTGGATTTTTGCCTTCTTTCTAAAGAAAAATTCAAGTGTCCATAGGTGTTTGAAATTATGTAATTTCTTTTCATTCATTAACATGTTTGTTCTATGCCAATACCATGTAGTTTTTATTTCTATAGCTTTATAGTATGATTTGACATCAGGGATGGTGATACCTCCAGCAGTTCTTATATTAATTAGGATTACTTTAACTTTGTAAACTTTTTTGTTCTTGTTGTTTTCATATGAATCTGAACATGTCCTTTCAATTTTTATAGATGTTTGTGGTGGAATTTTTTGAGCCTTGTATTGTATCTGTAGATTGTTATTCATAGAATGAGAATTTTAGCTGTATTAATTCTATTAATTAATGTGTGTGGGAGATCTTTCCTTCTACTATTAGCTTTTTCAGTTTCGTTCTTCAATATCTTCACATTTTCATAGTACAAATATTTTATTTGGTTGGAGATACCACAAGATATTTTAGAGGCACTTATGAATGTATTGTTTTCCCGTCAATGTCTATCTCAGTTTCATTATCATTCGTATATAGGCAGGTCACTCACTGATCTTTGCATATTTATGTTGTGTACTGATATTTGCTGAAAGTTTTATTAGCTGTACAAATTTCCAGAGGACATTTAAGGGTCACTTGTATATTCATTCATATCATCTACAAGGATGGAATCTCTGATTTCTTTTCTTCCTAATTTTATCTACTTCTGCTGTAGGAAAGGAAGTCATATAGGCAATAAATAGCCTTTACTTTAACTGCCCATTGGGGCATAGCCTCTTATACTATTAATGCCAATGTAAACCATGCATCTGACCTCTTTTCTGGCTGAGAGATTCAGTTTCTGTTCTCCATTCCAGCAGAAAAATTCTGTTTTGTGAGTCTACCTCTAAATAAATAACAATCTATTATCCTCAATTCTGAGCTAATGTGGGATTTTTTTAAGCATTCTTCTTCATGCTTTACTTCCTTATTTGTCTCAATGCTCAGAATAGGACTTCAAGTCCTATTTTGGAGAGGTATATAGAGAGTGGATAACCTTGACTTGTTCCTGATTTTGGTGGAAATGCTTAGAAATTCTTTAAATTTCAGTTGATAATTGTCGAGAACTTCCAGGTTATTGCATTTCTTATGGTGAAGTATATTCCTTGTGTCCATAGTATCTCAGGGCATTTATCAGGAAGAGGTATTAGATTTTGTTAAACTCATTTATCACTCTAGTGATATGATCATGTGGATTTTATCTTTTAGTCTGATTGTGTTGTGGATTACATTTGTATCGTTACATATGTAGAAACTTCACTTCATCTCTGGAATGAGGTCTATTTGCTCATGGTAGATGATATTTTTTCCTTTATTCTTTTATTAAATTTGTGCATTTTATTACAAATTTATACACTAGAGTTGACCTTTGTTATCAGAGTCCTAGAGTCTTATTTTTAAGTCTCCTTATAATAGCAGACATACATCCCAGAATAGATATGGGGCAGAGACAGATCCAGCCAGTGTAGGAGGTGATGGAAATGCCTATTGTAGGGGTCAGGCACTGTGTATATGATTTCTGCCTTATTGAAGTTTCTGAAAGTCCCCTTCAGGCTACACTAAGTTCATCTTTGTCCAGGAATAAATGTGCCCTCTTATGATTTATATAATAGTCAGATGACCTGAAAGAAAGTTGATCTAGTTTCTTGACACTTACCTACAATTTTCAATATTGTAGACCTCAAGAATAACAAAGATCATTAGGTCTAAATTTGGATTACACTTCACAGATGTGGTACAGGACAATTCAGAGATGAAGATATATCCATAAATAGACCCTGGGATGACCTCCTATACAAACATTGCCTGCACTATAGTGCAAGCCTAGATCCCGTACTTAAATGTACACCTCCTATATTTACAGGGAAGTCCCTAGGTCTCAGTTCAGCTGTGAAATCTTGGAACACTGGCTAGGTGACATGAAATGCTTTTGTTACATTCCGCACACTTTGTGGTGCAATTCTGGGTGTGTGTGTTCAGCAAGATTCAAAACAGATTAATATGCCATTAATATAAAAGGGTCACCAGGGCCCTATTCACAGCTGCTACAGGGTTTTCAGTGACTGGAAGATTGATAAATCCTGTCTTGAGTTAATTCTCATTTCCTGATTCATCTGGTTTTTTTTCTATCATTTTCATAAGAAATTAAATGAAAAGACACACTGATGAACAGTTGAAAAAATTATGAGTGAAACACAGGAACAGAATAAGGCACACCTATTTCTATAACCCAGATATAGCTCTATCTCTCCCTCACCCCCCTCTGTCTCTCTCTCTCCGTCTCTCTTGCTCTCTGTCTCTCTCCCTCTCTCTCTCTATGTCTCTCTCTGTCTCTCTCTCTCTGTCTCTCTCTGTCTCTGTCTCTCTCTCTCTCTCTCTCTCTATATATATATATATATATATATATATATATATATATATATATATATATATATATATATAGCCTGTTTCTAATGAACAGATAGGTAGATATTCAGGAAAAAAATCATAAAATAAAAAAAAATAACATAAGTTTTTCTTACTCCCCGGTGCCAATGAAAATGGACAAAGTCTCTGCAGGTTCCTTACTGAGCAATTTAATTCAGTCATGTCACATGATCTTAACACAAAAATAGAGTTTCCCAACTCCAGAGGCAACTACACTTACAACTTATGGCTGTAGCTGACTCGGGTGGTGCCTAGTACATCAGTGTTGAATCAACACAGCATAAGAAAAGATCTGCAGAGCATGTACCAAAGCAAAGCCTACTGCCATCTATAATACAGGAAATGAATAACTGGGCGGAAATGATACCTAAAATGCAAATTTTGTTAGTGATTATTAAATGAAATAGATGATACTTAATGTGTGTGAAAAATAGCTTAGTACAATACAAATATTTTTATAACATTATCTTTACTGCTAGCCTTGCTACAACATTTACAAACATACCAGAACATGCTATCTCTTAGCTCCAACAACAGAACTTATATAGCAGGAAGGCATGCAAATAAGGTCCATCTCTTCTCATGAAAACCAGATAAACATTGGCCCTGAATCTCAGACAAAGGAATCAGTCCTGGATGCCCAGTTCTTCCATTTCAGTAATCAGCACGGACAATAAAACACAATGGATTTGGTGTTCATTTGGGTTTTCCTTGTTGCTTGTTTAAAAGGTAATTCATAAAGAAAAGATACTGACTGTGTTAGTGCACATGAACTATTTATATAAAAGATAGAGTTTCTGTGGCAATTTACTAACAACATTTTCTGTGTTTGCAGGTGTCCAGTCTGAGGTGCAGCTTGTGGAGTCTGGAGGAGGCCTGGTGAAGCCTGGGGGATCCCTGAGACTATCCTGTGTAGCCTCTGGATTCACTTTCAGTGACTGCTGGATGCCAAGTTCCAGGGAGGGATGGAGTGGGTTGGAGGTATTAGTACAGACAGCAGTACTATAAGATATGCACCATCCGTGAAGGATCGATTCACCATCTCCAGAGACAATGCCAAGAACACTCTGTACCTGCAAATGAACAGTGTGAGATCTGAGGACACAGCCACTTATTACTGTGCTAGAGACAGTGATGGAACTTCAGTGTTAACTCAGGCATAAACCTCACTGTTAGGCCACTCAGGGCCACCAGGGGGTGCAAAAGACATAGAATACATGTTCATCCCAGGAATTTATGCAGATATGATTAGATTAAGCACTCTTCTCAGGTGTTTGACCTGCATTTTTTTTACACTTTCTCTGGAATTTTCTCTACATGTACGTTCTGAAGGAATCCAATGTCCTCAACACATTATATGTTCTTCTTGTGCTATTTTATCATAGGAGGCACAGTCTCCCATGAACAAAGTGTAAACTGACAACTACGGGGACACAAAGTACCCTACATTAGTCATTGAAATTTTATGATAAGAAAGTATATGGACATTTTTGAGTATTTGCATATTCTATGCAGAGGTCAGGTTATACTTTTTGATTATAACAGCATGAATGTTTAAAGGAAAACCAAGAGAAAGATGACACCATGTTAATTACTTAAAAACATCCTAGCATATTTACAATCATCTCTTGTCCTTGAGGATGATGCACTCAGGTTCAAATGAGACCCAGGTGTGCTTTTAGTTCGTTTGAAATGGAAAGGATATAGTTATATTTTAATAAAATATTAATTAAGAACATTTTCTCAAGGTTTTATATATTCTTCACTTTGCTAATGTCTTTTTATCTCTTCAAAAACTTGCTTGCAGAAATTATCTCAGTTATGAATCCTGACTTTTGTTTCTATACCTTTGTCTCTCAATAAAATTAATTCCCAAAATATCACCTATAATTCTGTCATCTATGCATGTCTACAAATATTATAATCCTCTTTGGTATGTCTCAGTCATTCACAAGATTTGAGTTTGTGTTCATTAATGTTATATTATTTTATATGAGTTTTTCCTGTAAATATACAGATTCACAACTATGCCTACTGATGAAAATAGCTTTTGTTTATTTTAACATTTTCTGTGACTTTGTACAAATCAGTTTTTCATTCCTTTTCTTCAAAACTGAATGTATTAGATGCTATACAGGACTAAAGTTGTGAGGTTTAATATTCCCAGTTGACTTATTTGAGATCACATATGTCTCTTACTGAACAGATGTAAGAGTGTTTTCACAGTGTTGTAATAGAGAAGGGAACATTCACATTTAACATTGATGGCAAGTTTTAGTGGACTGCAGGTCTTCAGTCAGTAGAATAATAAAAATGGAAATATTGCCTCTCCCCAGTTAATTAATCTGTATATTCCCTGATCTATGCACAGGAAAGAAAATAACATAAATGATAAGAGAATGCCATTAAACTTTGCATGTGACATGATGATTCCCTAAGGCACATAGGTACTGATGTAGTGCAAATATTACTTGTTATAAGTTGTGTTGATCATTTTGAAGGAAATATTTACTCTGTGGCAATGTATCCTTTTCTTATTTATTAATTATTTATTTAAATTGAATTCAAATTTTCTGATTACTCTTAGCATTTCATCTTTGGTATTCACAAAAATATTAAGGCTCTTAATATTTGGAGTATTCTAGATGCTAGAGACAGTGATCAATTGGTAAAAGCAATTACTTGAAGAAGGTCTGGTTTGTTTACAAGCACCCAAGATAACAGTTCATAAATATATATAACTACTGTTCTATGTGATCTGACAGCTTCTTCTGTCCTACACAACCACCTGGACTAATGTGCACATATACAAAGAAATGCACATGCACACATATGAAAATGACTATTAAAATTTTGATTTATCTAAGTAATGAAATAAAGGCTTTTGAATTGCAAGATGTAAGATCCTTGAAAGAACATGCGGGAACTATATAAAGATGAAACCAGGGAGTTTATTGTGAAGTTGACAAGAAGTAAACATGAAATAACTCAACTTCATGGTAAAATTGTCTGTAATTGTGATCAACCAGGAGAGTCTTTCATACAGCTGTGAGCATTATTTCTGATAACTATCTTTTCTATTTGGAATGAATTTGCATATGGAATAATGACTTTTGAGGGACAAACAGAGATGACACACAGAGAGAAAGATCATACAATAGGAATGTAACATGAAAAGTGAAAATCCAGAGGCTGATATTGGGGTTCAGTTGAAGATTAGAAGAGTAAAGCTGTGACCCGTGGAGAGACTTTTTACCTCCACCAAATCTTTAGACTGAAAAAGTGAGCTTCTGTTTTCATAAATACTCAGACTCCATACTCCAGTGAGTTCCTGTCTCTTTACCTTTATATTCTTCTCCCCGTTCAGCCATATCACTCCTGTTTCCACCTCCCTATTGCTGAGATTAAATGTGTATGACTTCTAAACACTGAGATTAAAGGCACGAGACACCACCACCTGGATCTGTTTTGGGATCAATCTTGTGTAGTCCTGGGTAGACTTGACCTCAAAGAGATTTATTTGTTTGCCTGTCTCTTGAGTCCTTGGATTAAAGTTGTGATCCTATCCTTGCCCTTTAATGTTTTAGCATTGTACTCCTATCTTAGGGCGAGCTTTGTTTTTTTAATTACAAATAAAATGTCACTATATTTTCCATTTTTATTTAAAATAGAAAGAAGGCTACACATAAAATAAGAAAATTATATGCAATAATTACAATCACTGTATAAAATATATGCAGGAAATAAATACATCAACAACTTCTGATCCATTTGCATTTGAAAAATTGAGAGAAAATATTCCATTTTCTATCCTATGTTGGTGAGCCCAAAGATCTATAAATAATTTGTTTTAGATCATAATATGCCTTACCATCTAAAACTATCATTGAATATCTTTCAACCTTATGCAATTTACATTTCTTTAGTGAATTTTTTTCTGAGTCTCATAAATAAGTAAAACTATAAATATAACTATCTAATCTTAAAACACCTCAGAAACCCAAGAAGAAATAATATTAACTAAGTAAGTTAAAATTGTGAACAAACAACTTCCAAGAAAATGTTAGAAATGACAAAAAAAAAGCTGGCTATTTGACTATGTCACTCAAGATACCCCTGCATCATTGGGTCATCCTGCTTCAACCCAAAGTCCTAACATATCCAAAAAACTTTTCTGTGAAGCAAGATATTCTCAAGGTCTGTCCCTCATCTTGGCAGTCTTCGACACTATTTTGTGTCTTCCTAGTCTGATTAGAACATCATACTGTCAACAGTCAAGGAGAGAGCAATTTCTTGCCCAGTGACTTTTATGTGTCATAAATCAAATAATATCTGTGTGGAGCTGATTCAATGTCAGTCATCTTCTTGGATGTAGATTTGTGATCCCAGGAGTAGATATGTCTCATTATCATAACCAAAAACCTATATTATTAAAACATCTTTAATGGTATATTCTGTAAGCTCTGAAGTATATGAACATGACCTGTCTATCTAAAATTTATCTATGTTTGACCTCCAAAACCTCCCTAATTTGACTACAAGTTCTATTATAATAGGTGATTAACTACTAACTAATATTTCCTTATTATTTCAAACAGTTGCTATGCATTCTTAAGTAAGTTGTATAGGTATAGTTGTATAGGTATACCTTGAAAAATAGTAGAAATGTATGCACAGCATGTTATAACAAAATTAATCTCAAACTACATCAATATCAAAATTTGTAAATAATATACAGAAGTCAAATCCAATGTTAAACAATTAAACCAGTAGTTACTTTTTAAAAGTAGATTCAATAATCTACTCATTTATCTTACCATAACTAATCTTTCCTTTCTACTTTTAAGAGTAGATTCAATAATTTATACTTCTACTCTGTCATCTCAGTATCCTTTTTGAAAAAAACAAACAAACAAAAAAAACAAGAATTCTAAATCTTATCTCCATTGTTCAACTTTCTTCCTGAGTGTGAACAATAACAACTTATAACCAACCCCATTAAAAATGACAAATATCCATAACCCATTAAACTGCCATAAAGCAGCCACTTCACCTTTTGAGAATATGGGTGTCATATTCCATTTATTTATTTATTTAAAAAAAACTAACGATCATTTTACATAACAATTTTAGTTCCTACTTCCTCCCCTCCTTCAAATCCCTCCACTTATCCCCTACCCTGCCCCCATTCACTACTGAGAGAGGGTAAGACACATTGTTCTGGAGAAGATCCAAGGCCCTTCACACTATATCTAGGCTGAGTTAGGTATCCTTCCAAAAAAAATAGGTTCTCAAAAAGCCAGTACAAGAAGTAGGGATAAATTCAGGTGCCACTTCCAGTGGCCCCACAATCTGCCCCAGCCATGCAACTGTCACTCACATCCAGATGGTTCAGTTTGACCCTATGCTGGTTCCTTTCCTGTCTGACTAGAGTTGGTGAGCATCCATAAGTTCAGGTAAACTGTTGCAGTGGACGTCCCCATTGTGGTCTTGACCTCTTTTCTCCCTGGAATTTGGGAGCTCAGCCAGCACTCTGCTGTAGGTCTCTGACTTGTTTCCATCAGTTGTTGGATGAAGCTTTTTTGGTGACATTTATTATATTCATCAATCTATCGGGCAAGACCACTTCTGGTAGCATTTCCTCTATTGCTTAGGGTCTTAGCTGAAGTCATCATCATGGATTCCTTGGAATTTCTGTAGTTCCAAGTGTCTTGCTAGCCCCACAATGGCATGCTCAATTAAAACATCTCTTTCCTTGCTCTCCATCTGTCCTTCCACCATCTCAATTATCCCTTTAACTCAAATTCTCCTCACCCCTCTACTTCTTTCCTCCTCTTCACTTTTGACCCTCCTGTATTCCCCCACTCCATGCTCCCATTTCTTTTCAGGAGATCATGTCTATTCCCCATTCCCAGGTGGATTTTATATGTTTTCCTTAGTGTTAACCTTGTTACCTTGCTTCTTTAGTGTCATGGATTATAGGTTTATAGTCCTTTACTTTACAGCTAGTATACACTTATAAGTGAGTACATACCATTTTCATCTTTCTGGGTTGGCTTACCACACTCAAATTTTTTTTTTCTAATTCCATCCATTTGCATGCAAATTTGAAGATGTCATTGTATTTTACCATGAGTATACCATTTGTATGCCATTTGTAGTGATGAGGCGATGCCTCCTGCACAGCTAGCTTTACACCTGAAATAACAACACACAAATTGTATTCATTTAAACACTGCCTGGCCCATTAGTTTTAGCCTCTTATTGGCTAAATCTCATATCTTGATTAACCCATTTCTAATAATCTGTGTAACAACACGAAGTGGTGGCTTACCGGGAAAGATTCTAGTCTACATGCGCCTCGAGTTGGAGAATCATGGCATCTAAATCACTTCCTCTCTTCCCAGCATTCTGTTCTGTCTTCTCCACCTACCTATGTTCTGATATATCAGTCCAAGCAGTTTTCTTTATTAATTAACCAATGAAAGCAACAGATAGATAGGAGACCCACCTACTTCATTTCCCATTTTTCTGTAAACAAAAAAGAAAGGCTTTCACTTTAACATAGTAAAATTACATATAACAAAACAGTCATAAAACAAGAATTACAGGCACAATATTTACCTCTATTTTATCTTTTATCACAACAATGGATAACTATAACTATTTATCTACTCTACAACTTCATCAAAGACTCCACAAGGATATATTACCTATTCAAACAAGAAATAAGCAATTTCCAAACTCTAGAAATGACAGAAACATATTGCTGTCTGGGCAGTCACCTGAAGTTTCTCTGTACTGTTGGGGCATCCATCTTTAGTCTTCAAGCCCATAGTTTCCAGAAGACATTTTGATGAAGCAGGAAATTTCAAAGGCAGTTTAGTCACTATCTGCTGTGTCCTGCCGAATGTCTTGTAGATTCTTTCATGAAGCAGGAACCCCAAAAGACCATCTCAATTTTGTCAAGTTCAGCAGTCCTTTTTCTGCAGGTTCTTTGTGGCCAGTTTATGCAACAGTCCAGGCAAGTGCAGTTTCTTGACCAAATGGCTATCAAACTCCATAAGGAGCCTCTTCAATGCCCATCTTCCTCTTGAAGTAGCTGGTTTTGCCAGGAGCATATGTGTCTCATTTTCATGAAAAGCCCTATGTTATTAAAACACTTAAAATGTTATATTCTGTAGTCTTTGAAAGATATGAAGAATGCCTATCTAAATGAAATATATAGAAAATCTAACTAACATGACAACAAGCTTGACTATTATTGATTTATACCATTGTATAAATACACATTTTCTTTATTCTTCAGTTGAGGGACATCCAGGTTTTTTTTTTTTTCCATGTTCTTGTTACTTCAAATAATGCTTGCCATAATATTCTTTTTTTTTTTTTTTTGGTAATAATCAACTTGGTAATATTGGGCTGACCTCCAGCCCCTGAGGATGCCTGGTTTGCCACATAAGATGAAAGTGTGGAATTAACTACAATGCAAGGGGACAAAGCAGGTGACTCTGTTGAGGTTGGTGCTGGTGATGCTGGGTCAGCAGCAGTCACAGTAGGAGGTGAAGGAGTCTGTGACTGTGGGACAGGATCTAATTCCACTGTTTCCACAGTAGCCTGACACTCCTGATTGTCTTTATAAGCAGCTAGTGCCTTGAGATACTCTTTCTTGGCAGCTTCAGTTTTCTGCTTATACACCTGCTTTTGCTCTTCTCCGAGACTGTCCCACATGGAAGCCACAATCTTCGACACCTCACCAAAGGTAGCATTGGGGTTCTGTCCCTTGATGGCAGCCTGAGTATCACGGAAGAATAATGCATATGCGGAGACTGGCTTCTGAGGCTCATTAGGGTCTTTCTTTTTTCTCTTCTTGGGAGCCTTTTGCTTTTTCCCTGTTTCCACTACCACTGTCTTCTGACTCGGAAGTTGCCTCCGAAAATCATCAACGCCGTCCTCATGAAGTGAACTGGTAGGTGACGGAGTAGTCGAAAGACGATCCTCAGGTGACTGGGCAGGTGGCAAGATGGTGCTACCTCCTAAACTCAATCCAAGTTGAGAACTCAGTTCTGACTGGTCAATAGTGGTCAACTGGCTATGTCCCATTAAGCCAGATGTCATGTCTGTCATTGGTACGTCAATTGTGACAGGTGGGTTGGCACTATACTGAGTTCCTATAGAATGGTCCAGGTCCATAGTCAGGCCCCCACTCAGGAGTCCCCCGCCCTGCTCCATCAAGCCGTGGGTCATGCCCACAGGCATGTCCAATGTCTGAACTCCATATTGAGCTGCAAAGCTGCCATCCTGTGAGGAAGACGGGTCTGCCAGGTCATCAAAGTGGCTAACCACATCTGAGACAGCCAGGGAGGGGTCAGAGTCCAAGGAGATGGGTGGGATTTCAAATTCCTCATCGCCCAAGCTTGGTGTATGAAAGGTCTCGGCCCCTGACAGGAAGGGATGCGAGGGCCCAGTGATAGTCAGGTAATTGTCATTTCCTCCGGAAACTCCATCTTCGCGGCAGCACTAGCAGCTTCTCCCTGCCATAATATTCTTAACTTTGCTTCCTGTTGTCTGTGCTCAGTGGTATCTTTAGGGGATGCTGAAAAGAAAAACTTTAATTATCATGCCCTGATAGAGGTGGCTATATCATATTTTGTCTAGTTTGTGTAATGGGAAGTGCAGTGCTTGTCTGAAGTCCTGGCTAGAGTAGTTTGTTAGGCTGAATCATCACACCTAGTCACCTCAAAATTGTTCAGAGCAAGTTTGGAATTCAAAAATGACCTTGAAGTGGAGTTTTTCACCTTAGTGGTGTTGTGGGACCATATCCTCTTTTTGTTTATTTTAAAGGTTGCTGTTAGACCTGCTTATGGTTCATGGCTGAAAATCAATAGAGACTCATACCCTAAATGATGTATAAGAAGCTAAATAAAGCCTTTTTCTATAAATAGTTATTTCTCTATATTTACTATTAATATCATGATAAAAAGTTTAACATGTTTTAATATTATAAAATGCATACTTAAAAAGCAGTTAAGATTCAATATAAAAGCAAAGTATTATGAGCATAGTGGCAACAAAGTAGTACTTAAATATCTGATTTTCTTCTGTCCCATATAGACAGATATTTCTATTTTCCTTTAGTAAATATGTTTGTGTTTAGGGAGGAG